GAACACAAATAGGAAATATATATGTACATGGAGTAATATGATTTAAAGTCTGGAACTTGAAAAGGGAACTTTTTAAGAGTTTTTTGAAGTTTTTCCATTAAAAGAATACTTTTTAAAAATCTATCTATTTCTACAAATAAAAGCCTCTAAAACAATGATTATCAACTAGAAATAAAGAGCACCTGCAACTTGTAAAAAAATGCAGATTATTGAGTCTTCCACCAGGAAATTCGGAGACAATAATGCCAGTGGCCTTGAGATTAGGATAGTATCTCAACACTATTGACATTCTGGGCCAGATCATTCTTTGCTGTGAGGGGCTGTCCTGTCTGTGCATTGTGAGATGTTTAGCATTATCCCTGTCCTCTGCCCACCAGATGCCAGGATCACCCACCCCATTCCCGGTTGTGACCACAAAACCTGTCTCCAGTCTTTGAAAATTGTCTCCTAGAGGGCATAATCTTCCCCAATTGAGAACCAGAGACAGAAGTTACCCAAACAATACACACTTTGAGAAATACCACCCTTCATCGAAAGGATAAAATAATATGACAAAAAGTAGAAGAATAAAGATATTATAAGCATACTTCGGATACAGTGAAATAAACAGGCTTCTCATAAAGCAAATCTGATTAGCCACTATAAACTCCTGACAACTCAGCTATGCTCCTGAGTCAAATCTCTTCTCATGTAATTTCACCTTGAAGATTTTCTCCCTAGCTTCTATTTTAAATTATTTTTAATTAACTTCACTGGCATTTTGCATCCTGCTATGAAAAGTCCGCCTAATAATCTCAGAGGACTCTCCCGGGAGAGAAGAGTGCATTAAATCACACATTATCACATTAAAGTATATCCCAGCACTCCAGCCCAAGTCTTAAGTCTTGACAAATGCAATGAGGTGGGGGTGGGGTGTGCCGGGATGGGAACAGGCTCAAGTGATTCACAGTATCCAAACCCCATTATCTTTAATTCATCCATCTGTAGGGAAAAGTTGTATTGATTCTCTGCTTCAACCACATTTATCACCATGACATATAATATACTTTACAATTTGTGCTTCCACCCTGGTTTCTAATGACTGTGTATGAGACCTTGGGCAAGTCACTTAAATTCTCCGGGCATCCCTTCCAAAGAGTGAGCCAGTTAAACTAAATTATTTCTAAAGAACCTTCTACTTACAAGTTGCAAATTTATGAATGAAGCACTTAATTACTAGTAAAAGGCTCTTTTCAACTATTGGGATTCTAGTAACTATAGCACCAATAAAACAACTACTTATATTTTCAATGTTGATAGTAAAATGAATTTTAAGATGCTTAATCCAAAACAATAAAAATGACAATTGGATGAACCATGTTTACAAGATCCATTCTCTCTTAAAACACAAATAAATTTGACCCAGATTGTCCTTCACCTATCAAGATACTTAAGACAGAGATTTTGCATAAGATGGATCAAATCAATCTTTCAGCAGTTAGTCACAAATAGGGAAATGGTTTGAAATTGTACCTTTACTTTTTATTTTCTATAACAGAGATCACAAATCAGCTGCTTAGAGGCCGTTTCCAGCCTGCAGGTGTGGTTGTTTTGTTTGGCTTGGACAATAATTGTATTTAATTAGTTGCCAACTCTTAAAAAGGGAGATATGATACATAAAAATCCATATTCCTGGTATCTTGTGGAACACTGAAAATTATTTTATCTTTATCATTGAAAGTGTTACAGATGTCCCTTTTTTCCCCCATTGACCCCTTCTAGCCCTCACCACCCCCTGCCCCAAGTCTTCACAACCCCATTGTCTATGTCCATGAGTTATGCATATATGTAAATAAGTTACTTGGTTAATCTCTTCACACCCATCTTCCCTCTGAGATTCCACAGTCTTTTCCTTGCTTCTGTTTCTGAATCTATTTTGTTCATCAGTTTATTTTGTGCTTTAGATTCCACATAGGATGAGATCATGTGATACTTGTCTTCCTCTGACTGGCTTATTGCGGAGAAATATTAACCCAAATGACAAAGATGAGCTGGAGGTGAAAAGTATCTCCTCCTGGCCCCTGTGCTCTTCAGGGGCCCACAATCCCCACTGCTCCCTATCTTCTGATACCCATCCTGGTTCCCTCTTACAGACTGGAGTATATGAGCTTATGTCCTTGCTCTGTAACAATTTTCAAAATTCATAGAAAATATTTTTAATGTTTTCAAAGCAATAGAATTCTGCTCGCAGAATCACAGTGAAAGGGTAGATATTTTAAAGAGACAGAGCTATGCTCGCAATAAGGAAAACCTTCATATAATGCTACTGTTGAAGGTATTACTGATGTCCCCTTTTTTTCCATGTAGATTGCACTACACTGTAGGTTTCTAACTAACCACCTAAAAGAGTGTAAAAAGGAATTCTAGAGTTGAGGGGGAGTTCAGAGTAGAGAACCCCCTAAAATTACCTTCAACTTTACCGTTCTCTATCTTTGGTCAGTAGTATAGAGTTCATATGCATAGGTCATAATATCATGTCTTCATACATGTATTTAACTTTGCAAAAGACATTGTGTTTTCTAAAACATTCAATTTTTCTCACTGATTTTAATATATCATTTTAAAATTAATTTCAATTAACTAAGCAGTCACATCCTACCAGAGAATTATTAAGCTATTCTTCAGAAAAGATAAAAAATTCAAGGACATGAGGAAAAGAATTCGAGGAAGGGCTAAAGAGTTGAGTTGCCTGCTAGTAAGCCTTCTTCCCCAGTGTGCTTACCAGTAAAATCAACCTAGCCAGGAAAGCCTACATCTTGCAGCTTTGTCCCTACCCACTCTCTTCAACAAATTTTTTTTCTTTCAGTACACCTTATGAAATCTGCCTGAGACCCAGTATTTTAACAAGATCCTGATCATTTTATTTTTTTTTAAAAATCAACTTTACCTTCTATTTACAATTAAATTCATAGTTATTTAAAAGGATGCTGTGATTCAAAGTAAAACTAATTTAAAAAGCAATTTTGTTGCTTAAGTTAAGCCAATTTTCAGTTAAAATCTAACCCAAGAGTTTCCACACTGATACTGTGTGTGTTGTATGAAGCTAACATTATTCTTCAGACCATTCTAGATGCCTGCTTCTTAAGGTCAGATCATGTGATACCTTACAGCATTATGTCTGCACAATTACATCAAGTATCACTGGCAGGTCTTTTAGGTGATTTTTAAAATGCCTACTATTAAAGTTGGACATGGTAAACATCAAAAAAAAAATCCCAAATCAATCGTTTTTCTAGTGTTTGATCCTGATTTTTGACATAAGTAAGCATTATTTAACAATAGTGATTAACAGCTGAACTGTGAACATAAAAAGCCCATCAATGAGTCTCTGACTACAGGGGACCTGCCTAAGGGCAGGAAAATGATTGTGTTGGCGATATAACGTCTAAAACAGGGGTTGCTTCTGGAAAACTGGTGTTCCATTCTAGTTCTCTCATCTTCTCATATTTTATCTGTTTAGAAAAAATGACTTCCTGTTTAGAAGCAAAAAAAAAAAGAAAAACATGATAAACATAATTCAATATAACACCCTGAATGCCAGAACATTTTGACTCAGCCATAGATGTTTTCTGCTCTTACCTACTGAAGGTTCAACATTCACTTCTTTACCAATTTCTGCTGCCTTTAAAATAATATGCCAAAGACCCCACTCCATTACTGTTGGGGGGAGGGAGGTATCAGACAGTCTTAAAGTCAAGAGTATAAAGTAGGTTTATGAGCTCTGGAAAGTTATTGAGTTCGTGTCAATATCAAAAATCTTTACATAAGAACCACCCTAAGATGAAAAGACATCAGGAGGAGTAAGGTCCTTGCTCTTTCGTGGTCGCCTATGAAAACCTGTTGTTACCTTGAAGAACAGAAAGACAACCTGGCCTGTTTACAAGCTTGTTATGGAGGCTTCTCAGAAACAAGAGTTTTTTTCTCAGATCGTCTGTACGTGTTAACGCTTCCTAAGAACAGAGGACCTATTTCATTCCTGGAAAGTGTGTCTTTAAAGAATATTTATTTTCAAACACAAGTTATTGAAAACGTATGCATGAGCCATTCCCAAGTGACTGGTCACAGAAACCTGGAGTATAAACCCAGGTGCAGAGGGGCCCCAAGAAGCAGCAAGATGAGGGGAAGCATGCTTGTGCAGAGCGCGCAGGAGGCCTGGAGCTGATGAGGACATGAGAACTGGAGAGACGCGGGGAGAACTCTCACACCTTCGAGGGCCCCTCAACGCAGAAGCTTAAGAAAGAAGCAATCCGGCCATCCTGCGCTCCGCAGCCAAAGAAGGGGGAGTGGAGGGACCAGGGATCCCGCCCTCTCATCCGGAGCTGGTCTGGGGCAGGAATCCCGGAGAACTTGCCCTGCGCACCTAACACCGTGCAGAAGTGCACAACTTGCCAAGCGCGGCATATGCCCTCGCCGCGCCCCGTCCCCACACACACACACACACACACACACACACACACACACGCACACCCCACTCATACAGGCGGGGAACACACTGTAAAAAGCAACAACAACAAGGAGGCTTGCAACTTGCGAGCGCGCACTCACCCCGGGACGGGGGCCCTCAGGCGGCCCTTCGCCAGCTTCGGCCCCCGGTCGGGGGCCCCGGACCCAGGGCTTCGCCGGCGTCGGACATGGGCCGCTCCGCCGACGGCTGCCTAGCTGGCCGCCCCGCCGGGCGCAGGGACCGGGCTGCTCCTGGAGGGAAAGGAGCCGCTGCAGAAACGCGCGCCGCCCCGCACACACCCCGCTCCCCTCCCCCGGACCCCACCCGGGAAGTTTTGATTTGAAACCAGGAGAAGTGCGGATCGCCGGCCAGCTGACCGCAGCGCCGTCTCAGGAAGTTGCTGGGGGGCTGGGAGGGGGGAAGGGGGAGCCCCGGGGAGAGGGGAGTGGACTTAGGAGAAACTCCAGGGGAAGGACCAAGCCCTCCCCGCCGGGCCCGGGAGACCACCACCACCTACCTCGGCATCCTCCCACCCACAACTCGGTCCCAGCCCGTTTCTCCTCCTCTTCCGCCCGGAAAAGTTGGCGAGGCTCCGGCCGAGCTCGCAGCTCGCCCCGGGGGCCTGGCGGTGGGGGCGGAGCGGCCACGGGCCGGGGCTGCCCCGGGCTCCGGCCCCGCCTCCCCGCGGCTCCCGGTCCCTCGGCGCCCGCCTTTCCCCCGTCCTCCACGCCGGCCTCCCCAGCGCTTCCTCGTCGGCCGCCTTTCATCACATCCGGACCGAGGGAGGCCCGGGGCTCTTGGCCCGCGGCCCCGACCCGGCCGGCTGCGCGCTCCTTGCGCCCCACTCCGTCTGGGTCAGGAGGCCGACGCCAGGGCAGAGCGCGGTTCCTCCGCAGGTTAGGGAAAGGGCTGGATCCGCGGGCCCTGGCTGCTCCTGAGTAGTTCCCCCCACTCCTTTACACCCCACACCCCACCCCTTTACACCCCACACCCCACCCCAGCCATCCCACCCCCAGTCTCCCAACTACTCTTCCCAGCACAGCCCCAGGACAGCTGAAGTTCTGGGAATGCCATGAGGGACGTAGAAACTGGAAACTGGGGGAGGGGAATAAAACTTGGGTGGAATAAAGTATGGTTGTTGTGTCACCTTGACCCCTAGCTGTATAATCAGAGTTACAGAGTCTCATTGTACAATCTCTTGATCTGTAACTCCGAAACTCCCTTTATTCTGTTCTTTGTTTATTTGGGTCAAACTGGTTTCTGGATCTGGTAAAACCAGTTGCAGTTGCATGAATGCACTGGAGGCATCCAGGCCGGAGGCGAGGTTGAGGACGCCAGGCCCATCTCAGGCCCAATGCCTGGGCTGCTCACTTCTGTGTGGCCAGAGAGGCTTGTGATTGGAAGTAAATAGCAGATCAAGGCTCCACCTATAAAGGAGACTTTCTGATTGTAGCTTCATCTGATGAGACAAGGAGAGAATAAAGTAATATGCAGATATAAAGTGTTTAAATAATACATTCAGATAACTTTTGCTCTTTATTGAATTGCGTAAAATGTGCAATTCATTTGTTTAAAGCTAGAACTAAGTCATTTTTTTGAATTTCTAGGACAAGAGAGGAATCACAGTAATGTTATCAAAATTGAAGAAAATGTACATTGGATGCATCTTTCTAGGTGTTTCATTAAATAGCCCAGCGATATCATTTCCTTAAAAAAAAGAAATTGTAATTAATTCCAGTTCGTTGAGAAGAACCATTTTTTTTTTTTAACTTTTAAAGAGTCGGTGCAACCAAACTTTCAGTTAAATCTGAAAAACACGGCCTTTGAAGTTTCTGAGGATAGTTACTCGGACGATACTCCTATAAGACAATGACATTTTGCCTAATGACCTATGACAAACAAATGCTTTTCATTATTTGTTATTTAGAGATTTCAGAAGTGATATGTATAAAAGTGCCTTCACTCTTCTGAAAACTTGTCTAGGAGCCTGGACTATTTGGAACCTGCTTGATGGAAGCAGAACAATTCACAGGGTGAATGCACTGCCATTAGATGATTAGAGAATAAACATGTAGGACGCATCACTGTCTACTGCAGCATAATCTGCAACTAAAAGAGTGGGCTAGAAAGCAGAGGGTCTCAGATGTGTGTGTGTTTTTTATCCCCTCACTCAGATGTTGTAGGGTGGAAATATTAATTAATTTCTTCTTCCTTTTTAAGTTCTTCTGTCTGAGCTAATAGTAAAATTAACATGGGACAGGTTGATAAAATGAACAAATTTATTACATATTACATATGACATATGGGGATTCCATACAAATATGAGACCCAAGAACTCATTGGACACTAGAGGACTATATGCCATTTTGGATGTAAGGACAAGTTTGGGACTTCAAAGGGCAGGAAGGCGATTCATGTGAAGATGGGAAAGCAAGTGTTTGGTAAATAACTGTTTGCTGGACCATCTTTAACTTTTTGGACACAGTAGCAATGTCAATCAAATGGGCCTTGCTAGGTTCCTCCCTATCACACGTAGTTCATATTAAACTACAGTTAACTACGATGACCATGCCCTTCCTAGAGCAGGTCCTCTACCTAAATTATTTTAGGCAGTTAGGGGGAAGGTGGATGCCAGGAGCCGGTCCACCCTTGCTGCTTGACACAGTCGCTGCAGGAAAGAAACATCTGCACAGCTTATGTTTCAAGGGACCTGGCGTATATGACATATGTTTGCTCCCCCTCTTAAGCACTATGTGTTTTCACCAGGACCACCTCCCCGAGAAAGGTTGTTTCCCCAGGTTAGGGGTTAACAGGACTAAGGAAGAGAAAAAATCAGTAAATCCCCCTAGTGTTACAGAAATACCATGTACTACTTATGAAGAACTTGGTCTAAGACTGTTGGCAATAAATTTGGGACTTGTTGGGCCCGCATCCCCAGGGGTCTGCCCACCGGGGAAAGCACCAAAGCCTATACCCCTGGAGACCCACTGACACAGGGCAGTCCCAGGGAAGGCAAGCAGCCAGGCTGGGAGGACAAAACCTTTACTGGGAAGGATAATCTCCTTCAGTCACTTCCTTGTAGCCTATCAGTAGAGCAGTGACCTTGGAATAGCCCTTGTAATGGAACACAGAGATTAACCTAGACAAGATTAAAACAGGATTTTTGGCTAAGGTCAGATAAGAAACAAGGAACTGTAGAACGTTACCCAAAACATACCATGATGTAATTATAGAGGCATGCATATAGAATCAAATAGTATAAATATAGATGTAAGAGGACAATAAAGAGAGAACCTCGCCATGATGATCATCTGAACACTGCCCCCGTGTCATTCCTTCTTTGCCAATCCGTCCACACCTTGGTGAACCCCTGGACCTGCTGGGGCTGGCCCCCAACAGGTGGAAAGTTCTTTCTGAGTCTTTTGTTTAGTAAAACAACCAGCTTAACATAATCAACATACATATTTTGGGGTGGCAACTCTGCTTCCCCCAATGTTAAAGTCCATGGATAGCAATAAGGTACAGTGCTCTTTAAGAAAATCACAGTTAGTAATAAATAATTGTTCATTTAGCCGAAACCGGTTTGGCTCAGTGACACAAATGGTAGCTAATTCAATAAATATTCTTTGAATTAAATTTAAACATCTTAACCTTTAATGGGGAAGAAGTAAATTCAAATAAAAACATTAAGAACAAATGAGGATTGTGTGGTAGAATTACCAAGATAGTCAAATGTTGTCCCTTGCTCCGTGGTGTGGATTTGGTCAGGTTAACCAACCTCTCTATGCCTTGGTTGCCTCATTAAGTGAAAATGATAAAAGCAACTTTTCATCTGATCCCATTAGAACTGAATAAAATAATTATGTCATCTGGAAGAATATCAGATTTGAGGAATGGTGCTGAAAAATATTGACTTATTATTATATGGCAGAAGCATTTTGATGGGTAATGTAGAACATGGCATAATGACTATATCACAAGGACCACATCAAAATACCAGGTAACCATTCATTTTGCACAAATTATCACAATGAATTATTCCATCAGCCCTATCAGTAACTTACCAGGATTGTACCTCTAGAATTTAGAGTTCAAGTCTATCTGCCTGCAAGGTTATCTTACTTCATTAGGTAAACTCAGGTCTCCCCTCTGGGAGGACCTAAAAGTCCATAAGCTTGGTATCTGATACATGAGGAATTAAGTATGGACACCTCTGCTTAAATTTCCCATTTACCCCATCCCTTGCTGTATTTGTTTAGTCTTTCTGACTAATCACTTAGCTTGGCTCCCAATGAGCACTACAATGCCCTCATCCTCTCATTCTTTTATTCAACAAACATGTATGGAAGTTGAGGGCCTGTCAGGGGTGCTAGGGATGCAGCAGTGAAGATGATAATGTGTCCATTGCCCTCATGGACCTCACAGTCTAGAAGGAAATAGGGGTGCAACCACTTACAGCAGTCACTGCGTGGGATGCCAAGGGAAATGGTGGGATGCTATTATAACACCTAGCAGAGAGATTTAGTTTCATCTAGGAACCAGGGAAACATCTCCACTGACACTGAAGCAGAAGTAAAGAGGAGAAAAAATGCTTCAGGCAGAGTGGCAGTGTGGGTAGAAGCCCAGAGTTTTGAAGGCAGCCTAGCATCTTTGAAGAACTGAAAGATAATAACCATAAGAGGATAATCAAATGCAAGGAGGAGAGTATGAGGGCTGAAGTTGAAGAGAAGAGCATAGTAGGGAGGAGTATTATTTTATTTGAACAAGGAGGATGTATTATCCAAATTTCTATTTATAAAAGCCACTCTGGTATAATCTATATATATAAAAGGCTAATATAAAAAGTGTCTCCTCGAGAGTTTGACCGGAAGACCAGGAGTTCGACCGCTTGCTATGATGTGCGCTGACCACCAGAGGTGGCACAGAAGGAAGGCCACAGCCAGCAGCCAGAAGGCCCCAATCGACCCTGATCACCAGTCAGGCCTAGGGACTCTACCCGTGCACAAATTTCATGCATCGGGTCTCTAGTGTATAAAATAATTTGGAGGGACAAGATTGGAGCTCGGGAGTTCAAATAGGAGGCAAGGGGTGATATTGAGAGAGGAAATAGAGTCAACTAGACTGAGTGAAAGATGAGGGAGCTAGAGGATCAAGGATGACTTCTAGGTTTCTGTGTCTAGGTGGATGGTGGTAATACCACCGACAGAGATGGAAACATTCAGGAGAATCAGGTTTGGGGGAAAGCTGCTGAGTTCATAAGGTAGATGGTGTAGTGTCTGAGGTACCTGCATGACAGCTAATTGGAACCATCTAGTAGGCTCCTGGGCCAGTGTTGGAATATGAGCACATAGATGGTACTGTACTTGCTAGAAGGTTATGGGTGCCCAAGGTGAGTGTGCAGTGTAAGAGCAGAAGGCCTGACACACACCGCTTCCCTGAATCTCAACCCAAATGTGTCCTTACTGGCCCTTCTCCCTTTCTCCAAACTCTCCCCAACGTCATAATAATGTTATCTGCCTGTCTTTGAGAATGACTGTTATTTCATTACTACTATCGCCAGTGTCCTACCCATCATTCCAGATGCCCCTGGGTATCCCATGATGGTCTTTATTAAGCCAGATTTTGCCATGGCTCATACTATAGCAATCTGGATGGGTAAAAACTTGGCATGGGAACCAGTCTTCCACTGAAGGCACTATCCCTGACTCGAAGCCTTCTGTCATTAAATGTGCCTTACAACCATTTCTGCTTAATGATGTACACACTA